GTCGTTTGGGCCTGCCCGTCGGGTCTGGTCCAAAGTGAGGCCTTTACGGCCTGTAGTACCCCCAAGGTCGGGCCTTTAGGCCCTACTGTGTCCCTTTAACCCTAAGTCGGGTTCGGTAGGACCCGTGTCGCGTCGAAGATGTAATACACTCCCCCTCTTAAAAGACCGAGCTACCTGCGAGGGCGAAGTTGTCTGTCCGATACCGGGGTGGGTCGGGCGGGACGAGCTGCTTCCTTAGCAAGGCGTCACTTCTCATAGTCGGCGAAGATAAGGGGTGCAAAAGTCTGCAAATCTGTAATGGAGATCCACCGAGTGTCATCATGCGCACATTGCTTGAATGTGACTTTGAACTGCATTGGCTTATTGCCATACTTGCGATGCGTGATGACTCGGTCGACTTCCTGATGTCCGTCCATTAGAAGGCGGATCCTGTGATCGACGACCGGGAAACTCGTCGGCGGAAGGTGGCGTGTAGATGGCCAGCTTCGACGCGTGGAAGACCCGGTGCATTGGAAGGTGCGGAGGAATGTTGACCACAAAGGAAGGACCTGCGGGGTTGTCTCCAACGGCAGAAGTGACTTCCCATGGTCCGAACCATTTCGGAAGGAGTTTGCGCTAAACGTCCTGCTCGAGCGCAAATTCCTCGGAGAGGACCCAAACAAGGTCTCCCTCGCGGAAAGAACATGGAAGTCGACGTCGGTTAGCCTGCTGCTGCATGCGGATCTGAGCCTTTTGCATATTCGCGCGGGCTTTGATCAGCAAGTCCCTGTACTTCCGAACGGAAGCGGGAGAGCAAGGGACGTCTATGTCGGCAGCCTGTGGCAAAAGGAGATCAGCGAAGATCCAAGCTTTCTCTCCACCATGATGTAGCTCGAATTGTGTGATGCAGATCGCCGGGTGCACCGAAGTGTTATAGGCGAACTCGATGTCAGGAAGCCGGTCAACCCAATCTTTCTGGTCGGGACGGATGAGCGTACGCAAGATCATCTGAGCGGTCTGGTGCGCTCGCTCCGTCTGGCCATCCGTCTGCGGGTGCCGAGCCGAGCTCGGCTTCATTGTCGTACCGGACTCAGCCATGAGGGAAGTCCAAAAAACCGACATGAAGCGAGTATCTCGGTCGCTCACTATGTCTTCCGGAACACCCTGGTTGGTAATCCAACCGGTGTGCAAGAGTCGTGTGAGCTCAGGCGCTGCAGCATGATACTTGCAAGGAAGGAAGCGAGCATACTTGCTCAAACGGTCAACGACCGTGAGAATACCGTCATGGCCGTGGCGATCGCGGGGGAACGGGCCTGTCACGTCCTTAGCAATGGAGAGGCGCGGTGCCCGAGCAACGGTTTCAGTTCGCCGAAGTGGACTCGAGATCGACCCTTGTTACGGTGTCAAACTGCACATGACTCAATGTACCTCGTGACGTCATGAAGGACGTCGGGCCAGTGAAAACGCTGGCGGAGGCGTGCTAATGTGTGGTTCACGCCAAGGTGTGCCGAAAGTCGTGCGTCGTGGAATTCGCCGAGAAGACGAGTCYGTAARATGCGATCTTGGGGMACAACTAACAAGTCCTTTCCTCTCGTGTGAAGGAGAAGGAACCCGTCGGAAATCCGATAGTGGCTAGCCGATGGGTGATCCGATGAAAGCTCCGCATAAAGCGTCGAGTAAGTCGGATCGGACTTGTAGCCTTTGACGAAATGCGGCTGCAGATCGTCATCGAGGTCGAATGTTGTGGTCACAATGGCACAAAAATCAGGGCCGCCGTGAGAGGGCGTCCGCAGCTCGATTGGCGGGACCGGGAATGTGGCACGGGTCAAAGTCGAACTGGGTCGACCGATCGTGCTAGTGACCGTATCCTGCGTTTTGTAAAAGGTCAACGGATTGTTGTCCGTATTCCATTTAAAACGCCGACGGCCGAGAAGAAAGTGGCGCCACCGTTTGAGAATGGTGACGAACGCGAGTAGCTCTTTCTTCCAAGCGTCGTCGAGAGTGTTGACGAGAGGCACCTTTTGGGAGAAATACTCGATCGGGTGCCAACTGTCTTCGTGACATTGTTCCAACACCGCACCAATACCGTATCCCGAAGCGTGCGTAGTCACTTGGGTGGGAAGGGTGGGGTCATATATACGGAGGGCAGGTGCGGCTTGCATCGCTGCCTTCAACGTAGTGAACGCGCCACGGGCTGCGTCGTTGAACTCGAAGGGCACCTTCGGGGACTGAAGTCTCGACAAAGGAGCGGCCACTTTTGAGTATGAATCGACGAATCGCTGATAATATCCAGCCAAACCCATGAAAGAGCGTACACCCGTCGTGCAACGGGGTTCCGGCCAATCCACGATGGCTTGGATCTTGTCCGCTAAGGGACGAATGCCTTTCGGCGTGACAAAATGACCCAAGTACTCAAGGTCCTGCTTGGCGAACTCGCACTTGTCGAGATTCGCTTTGTACTTGGCTAGTCGCAAACGATCCAGAACAACGGGAAGGTGTATGATGTGCTCGTCCAACGTCCTACTGTAAACCAAGATGTCATCAAGGTAGATGAGGACGCTGCGATCGAGCAAGTCGCGAAACTCAGTCGTCATCGCTGCTTGGAAAGTTGCGGGGGCATTGGTGAGGCCAAAGGGCATGACAACCCACTCAAAATGCCCGTACCGCGTCTTGAACGCGGTCTTGTACCGATCTTGAGGCTGGATTTCAATCTGGTGGTAACATGACTTCAAGTCCAACTTCGAGAAGTACGTCGCGCCGCCTAACCGCTCAAGAAGATCATCAATCCGAGGGAGAGGGCCGACGTTCTTTACGGTTTGTGCGTTAAGTTTGCGATAATCGATGCATAACCGTAGATCTTTGTTCTTCTTCCGAACGAAGAGAACAGGGGCACCGTAGGGCGAACAACTAGGGCGAATCCAGCCCTTGTCGAGGAGGTCATCAAGTTGTGCGCAAAGCACCTCGAGTTCCTCTTCGCTCATGTGGTAGATACATCCACGCGGAGGGACGGCGCCAACCTCGAGAGTGATCCCGTGACGCGTGGGCCGGTCCGGAACCGTTCCGGTGGGAGCCTCGAAGACGTCTCTATACTCGTCCAAGAGGTGAGAAATGCGTGGGTCCGGCGGTGACGCGGCTGGTCCGTCCGACGAGTGGAGAGCATGCAAGAATACAAGGCCCATCTCCTCGACGTCATTTCGAGCAATGGCGTCGCGAATTCTCGCAACGGAAACCACGTGACAAGCAATCGAAGTGTGAGGGGTCGCGACCGTACATGGGACTAACACTCCGTTCCGATCACGGATGTGAACGGTTCGGTCTTGAAAGTTCATCGGATGATCGGCGCTACGCAACGAAGACATGCCTAGAATCATGTTGAACTTGGTGTCGAGGATGTCAAAAGACATCGGCTCGCACGCAAGTGGCGCAAAGTAGACTGGAACGCCGTCGACGCATTGGTCAATCGACTTTTGCGTGCGGCCGTCCGCGAGTGTAACTTGCGTGGGTTGCGTCTTCCTTCGAACGCGCGGGCCAAGGCCTGCGCGGGCCATAAAGGCTTGGCTCATAAAGTTGGGAGACGCTCCGCAATCAATCAAGGCACTACAGGTTGCCTTTCGGATTTGAATGCGGATATAAAGCAAAGGCGCGTCGGTTTCGGCGTACCTTTGGGTGGCGTACTCGCGGTCAATCTTCGCAAGATAGGAGCCCCGTCGTCCGTCAACGGAGCAGGTACTGTAGTGTGCAAATAGGAGCGTAAATTTGCCATCAAGGCGTTGCAATGCGGCCTTGGCAAGGTTCCGGTCGAGGGTAGAGGCATCCAAGCGAAGTCCTCTCTCGTGAGCGGGTCAAGCTCCTCAAGTCTTGACCACGCCGTCGAGTCCTCGGAAATCAGTGGCGAGCTGACCGGATCACTTGCCGACGATGTACAGGCTGTGTGCACGTGGCTCGGTTGGTCTAGTGGTGGTACCAGCTGGGCGGCATAATCCTCGTACGTAGCACGAGAATCAGCGACTAACGCATGCTCCCCGGTAGTGACATCGATTGCTAGCAAGGCAACTGGTTCCGGCGGAGTGAGGAGAGGCGTCGCCCCTCTCCTTGCGTAACTCAGTTTCCGGAGTTAGCTGGACGGGGTACGCGTGCCTTGCCCTTGTTCGGGCATTGTGCGGTAGTGTGTACGACACTATTGCACCATAGGCAATAACCGTACCGTTGACGTAAGTCAAATACTTCCTTGGTTGTCTTGTATGTCGTCCATGGCTGCTGCCCAATTCCCATCGATGCCGTCTCTTGTGTCGCCTTGTTCTTCCGAACTCTCTTGGGACGCTTCGGCGGGAGCGCTGCTACAATTCCTCCATCACTCGAGGATGCTGCTGCAGCGTGGAGATCGACTGTTTCTTCAAAAATCACAGCATTGTTATGTGCTGGTCGTTGATAGGTCGGCTTAGCCACATAGTGCGGTTGGGACTGCTTCTCGTTGGCGGTCTTGTCGTCCGTTTGGAAAGACCAGGTTTGCGCGGTCCAGAATAGCCTGGAACGAGGTATAGTCGTACTCGTTGCCGAGTGCCGACCGCAATCCTGCGCATGATCGCGAGAAGAACTCGGATCGTTGGTTTGTAAAACTATCTTCTGCCACTTAATCGTCCAGTCTCCAGTTGGCATATTTCCCTGTGAGCAAGTGTACACCTCGTTCATGGCCGCCTTCACGACGTTGCGGACCATGAATCGGGTGATCCATAGTTGCTCGAACTCCTTCCACGTAATGTGCGTGTGGAGTTCGGCGATAGTGCATTGCTTGGTAGCCGTCAGGTGATTCATCCATGCCTGTGCTCCTCCAGTCAGTTGTAGGTAGAGCGCCTTCAACATGTCTTCAGTCGGGACAGTGCGGCAGGATGCTTCCGCGAGGAAACCTTGCCACCATGTCAAAGCGTCGGTCTTGTTGTAGTCGTCGAACTTGCTGATGGTGAAATGCGGCATCTTGAAACTCTTGGTAGCGGCGTCTGGCCTCGTTTGCAGCTTGGTGATGTCCGTTTTGATGGCGGCCACCGTGCTACTGATCGTGTCCGGCCCATTGAAAACACTTATGTCGCCGATGAGATTGACGACATGATCGATGCGCCCATTGAGCTGCTTCGTCATGTCTGTCATGTTTGTCGTGCAGCCTGGCACTGCTTGGGGAGGCCTTGCCTCCAAGGTAGCAATGCGTGCATCCAACTGTTTCAGCTGGTTGTCCACGACCTTGACAGCTGCTGCAAGCGTCTTCACGTTGTGGTTTAGATCGTGCTGCAGCTGCCGTGCGGACTGGGAATGCAGCTCCCCCATGGTACTGTTCCAAATGACGGCGCACATTGTATTGAGTACAATATCTGCCAGGTCTTGCCTCTCCTGTTGCATTGTCGTTGGCTTGCTGCCGGGTACGGGGACATAACGCATCCCGTTGAGTACCGTTGTCCATTGTGCTTGATTAGCACTTACAAGTTCAGCACTGTCGGCGTTGAGCTGGTCGATCGCCAACTGGTCTGCCTCGGCTTGACGTCGGGTTTGTGCTGCAGCTTCCTCTGCTAGCCGTAGTCTTTCGGCTGCGGCAGCCTCTTGCTGTTCCTTGACACGGGTGAGTGCGACTGTATAGTCCTGCATTCTCTGAATGAAGTCCGGGAGGGGCTCATTCGACCCTGGCACCGGACAGACCGGTAAGGGTTCGGCATTACTAGCTGTCGAACCCTCGGATAATGATCTGTTGTGTGGCGTGTTCGCCATCTGAGTACTGGTCTGTGGCGGTTGTTGAAGTGGAGGTTGCTGTTGCTGTTGGCGATCGGCGATCCGCTTGCTGCGTCGTGGCTGCTGTTCGGAGGCTGGCCCTGCTGGCATCAGGAACTGTTGCTGAAGGCTGGCTCGTCCGAAGGATCGCAGAACAGTGTGAGGGAGAGGGTGGGCACAGGGATAGAACAGATCAAGCAATAAACATATAGTCCCTATCCTAAGGATGGACTTAGACACCTAATCAAGTAGAAAAATAAATTTTCCAGTAAACAACTCGAAAATTCGTAATAAGAAAAATAATAACGAATTATTTAATCAATAAAGATTAATAGCGAAATAATAATTCTTAATAATAATCAATAAACAATATTTGCAATAATGATAATGAGCGAATTTGAATTGTATCAAGATTAGGTATCCGTTGAGATCATCTTTGAGTCCGGGAGTTCACCGTTTATTAGTGAACTACCCGGAAGTTGCAATGCTGAGGGTCAGATTCGGATTAGTTTGCCCAAAAAAATTTCGAAAAAAATCAGGAGAAAAAAAAAAAACTCGAATTTTCAAAAAACGTGAATTTTTGGGAATTTCCACCGTCAAAATCCGATTTTTAAAGTCCTAAGTCCGTTTTCGGAATTTCTCAAACAAGGGAAAGAAAAACAAATTCGCGAAAATTTCGGTCCCAACCCTAATTTTTCGCAATTCGGCGGAATTTTCGGATTTACGGTCCCAAAACGTTCGAATTCCCCAAGTTGATTGAAAACCAAAAAAAAATTCTAACCCTAATTTCCAATACTGAAGGAAAACGGAAATACGAAAAGAAAAACGAAATGTAGGATTTACAACAGAATGCCGAAATTAAAAACGGAATGCTGAATGGAAATCAGAGTGCCGAATTTCAACAGGATACTGATTCAACCCTAATAACGTTTTAAAATCAGAAATCCGAATCTAACAAATTATCGGATTAGTATCAATTAATCGGAACCCAAATAAACAGCATACCGGAAAAAACAGAAATCCGAATTATAAGTCCGAATATCGAATTGAAACGGCAATGCCGAAATAAATAGAATACCGAAAAAAGAAAAAAATTTGCAACTTTGAACTCGACAGTAATTCAGAGCTGATTTGGACGATTGAAAACACAGTCTACTTCCTAATCATACTTACCTGGTGAGCAGATCCGTGAAATGGTCTGCTCCGATACCAAAACTGTTACGTACTTCAATGAGTATGGGCAGAACCAAAGATCAACCAATGTAGGATGAGCATATATGCAGCGGAAGTCTGATAAACGGACTGACTCACATAGACTGACTCACATAGATATCACTCCACACACATACAATCGTGAGATGGTGGGGTCTGAGCCATACATGGATGATGCTCAGCCCCGTACACACATGCACAGATGAAGGTGGGAGGAGAGACGAAGGAGGTGGGAGATGTAGGTAGCACCAAATGTCACCGAGATAGAAACCAGTAGGTCACTGATATGGTAATCCGAAATGTCATCGAACGAGATCAAAATGTCGAGGACAATAAGTCACCAATGTCGGAGATACAGAGTCCTAATGTAACCCGTGTCAAATCTGTGATGCAGCCGAGTATCATCCCCAACAATCTCCAAGTCTCGAATCCGGTAAGTACCACAGCCTCTTACCACCGAAGTCCAACTCTGATCTCTGTCCAACTAGTATAAGTCTCCAGTCTGAAGAAGAGGAAGAAGAAGAAGAAGAAGAAAAAGAAGAAGATGAAGTCTGAAGAGAAGAAGAAGAAGAAGAAGAAGAAGAAGAAGAAGGGAGCCGAGGAGGAGAGAGAGAGAGAGGGGACTGGCGATGGGAGGGAGGAGAGAACGTCCGACTCCCGATACCTCAGGCGGCTATGGCCGCCGATCCTGCTCAGTCGCCGCTGTTGCTGCTCTGCTCGCTGCCGCTTCTGCGCTACCGCTGCCGCTGCCGCTCCTCGTGCTCCTGCGCTAAGTATAGCGCCAGCGCTGTCGCGCCGTATCATACCGCACCGTTAGAGTGTCGGTGGGTCGATGGCCTAAATGAGGCCGGACCGGTACTTTTGTACCGGTGGGGCAGAGGCCGGCCTCAATGCTGCGAGGCCTGGCCGTGCCCTGAACTGTCAAGATGGACGGTTCAGCCCCAACCGGCGGGCGGYAGCCTSAAGAGCGCCGCCAGGCCCAAACGGTAATGTCGTTTGGGCCTGCCCGTCGGGTCWGGTCCAARGTRAGGCCTTTACGGCCTGTAGTACCCCCAAGGTCGGGCCTTTAGGCCCTACTGTGTCCCTCTAACCCTAAGTCGGGTCCGGTAGGACCTGTGTGGCGTCGAAGATGTAACATTGCCTCTTCTGTTCAGCCTCATAGGCGCGCACAACTGAAATTGCAGACTTGAGAAGTTCCTTCCTTATGAACCACTGGTCCTCTGTGTGAGGTTGGAAAAGGAACTTCACAAAATACTCACTATTGGGGCCTGTGCCCCACTGGTCTTCGATGCTCTGAACCTCGTATGCCTTTCGAGGGATTGGAGGTCCAAACTACAGAGGTCTATCAGGGAATGCATCAGCAGAAGTGAAAGGCATCAGCAGAAGTGAAAGGCAGCAGTTTTGAGGCATGGAAGACGGGATAGGTCTTGATATGAGGGGGTACAGCAAGCACATAGGAAGGTCCAAATGGATCTGCCCCCACTGTATCAAGCACCTGCCATGGGCCATGTAAACAGGCAACAACTTCCTTGAAATATCATGCTCGTCAGCTAGTTCATATCTTTTCACCCAGACCCATTGACCTGGTCAGATAATAGAGGGAGAGCGATGCTTATTAACCTGTTCGATCATCCTCTTCTGGGCCTTGAACATGTTAGTTCTAGCTTTCTCTAGGTCTTTCTCATAACTCTTGGTGAACTCTGCAGTGTCAGGAGTTAGTTTAGGCTTAGACTTGTCAATGAGATCATCCAGAGGTTGTCTGGGGTCTCTTGCAAAGTGCAGCCTGTAGGGTGTAAAGCCTGTAGTGTTGTGAACAAATGTATTATACATCAGTTGCGCCCGCGACAGATGTTTGTCCCAGTCTTGCTGATCAGGCGTGGTCACAGGACGCAACAACTAAAACAGGACCTGGTTCATCACCTCAGCCTGTCCATTGGCTTTCGGATGTCTCCTAGAGGTCATGTCCAGTCTAGAATGGAGGTAGTCCTTACAGATGGACTGCCAATCATCGCTGCAAAATCTGGGGTCTCTGTCGCTGACAATGGAGGTTGGGCACCCATGGACATTTTCCCACCTCTCACAAAAGAGCTCTCTGACCAGAGGTACTTTGACCTCAACAGGTAAGGGGATAAACTCAGCATACTTAGAGAATCGGTCAACGCAAACCATTACATGTCTCATCCCATGTGGCGTGGTCTTGCCCAAGTCTGTGAAGTCAATGGTCATTGACTCACCTGGACCGTCAGGGATAGGTAGGGGTCCCATAGGAGGCCGCGTGTGGACCTTATTCCTTTGGCACAACTCGCATGTCTCCAAGTAATGCGGGATATCGTCCTTCATTTTAGACCAATAGAAGGGCAGCATACGTCTTTAAGAACCCAAAGTGCCCGCGAGCATCATGGCTCTGTGAGATCAGATGAGTAATGTTCTCGGGATCATTAGAGATGCACATACGTTCTTCCCCCTTACTGATTGTGTACAACAAGGTAGAAGTCGGGACATAGCCTGACGCAAAATTTGGGTCAGACTGTAGATTCCTAAGAATGGGGCCAAAGACTGGATCTTGAGGCAACGCACCAGCAATGGCCTGTCTGGTGGACTCAGCAAAAGAGTAAGTGTCAACAATGGTTGCGAAGGAATCAGGTCTAGGAGACAATGCATTAGCAACCCTGTTATAGCATCCCTTCTTGTGCTTCAGTTCAAAGTTAAACCCGTCAATGAACTGAATATTAACTCACCTTGGGTCTTCATCCACTACAGGGTGGAGTGTTTAGAATAGATCTTGAAGTGTCTCCCAAATAAGAAATGTTTCCAGTGTTTGAGGGCACAAACGAGAGCATATAGTTCCTTCGCATACATAAATGCCTGAATTCTTTGCACCTTATCTTCTTACTCATAAATTCCACCGGTTCCAGGTTGGTCCCATCATCTTGTTGATGTAGTGCACCAACACCATACTGATTTGCATCTGTGGTCAACACAAATGGCAAGGTAAGGTCAGGTAGTTTCAACAAAGGTGCTTGGGTAACTGACAAGTGGTGGTCCACCTGAAGGGAACATTCTTGGCTAGCAGATTTGTCATGGGTGTAGCAATAGAGGAAAAGTTCATGATGAACTTCCTGTAGTAAGAGGCTAACCCCATGAAAGATATGATGTCCCTCACATTCTGTGGTTGTGGTCATTCCTTGACAACAACCACTATAGAGGCTGCACGGGATGGGGATAGACCATCTGTAGAGATCACATGACCTAAGTACAATATACAGGAAACACCAAATGATGATTTCTCTTTTTTGGTTTGTACTTATGTTCCCTCAAGACCTACAAAGCCTTCCTGAGGTGGTCTGCACGCTCCTTGGCATCTTTGTTGTATACGAGAATGTCATCCAGGTGCACCACAACGAAGTGGTCAAGGAAAGGTCTGAAAATGCGATTCATCTCAGTCTGGAATGTTCCTGGTGCATCGACAGACCAAAAGGCATGACCAGGAACTCATAGGTGCCATACCGGGTTTTAAAGATTGTCTTGTAGACATCCTCTTCAACCATTTCGATCTGATGATACCCGGATTTCAGATCAATTTTGTTGAAGACTTTGCAGCCTTGCACCGTGTCCAGCAAGTCATCGATCCTAGGCAAGGGCTCAAAGCTCTTCCTAGTGATCTTGTTCAGGCCCCTATAGTCGATGCACATCCTCAGTTCATCATTTCCCTTTGGAACAAAGAGAACTGGTGCCCCATAGTCAGATGAGCTGGGTCTGATCCATCCCTTCTCTGTCAAGGACTCCAACTGTTTCCTCAACTCATCCAGTTCAACAGGTGACATCCTATACTCTTCCCTTGGGAGGGGTAGAGTCGGGCAGAATCTGAATATGGTGCTTGGTCTGCCTATAGACCAGTCCAGTAGGCTCTTGAGCTACATCAGCAAACTCATCAACCATGTGTTGAATGGAAAGATCAATCTGAGAAGGGGAGGAATCTGAATCTGTTCGAGTGACGCCATAAACAGATTTTCATGGTCAGTAACAGCTTGTCTTAGGATGATGGTCAGTAGCCAAGACACATTGTCTTAGGTCCCCCTGGGAATTCTTCAATTGAATATTGTGCAGAGCTCAGTCAATTGAAAGTTAGTAGCCCTTAACCACTTTAGACTCATGACCAGATCAAAGGGAAGATGGGGAAAAACATAGAAATTATGAGAATGTTTGATTTCCCCTTTGTCATCGAAGGTGACTGACACTCCTTTGATGACTTGCTTGATTGAGACATATTGGGAATTCCTTACCTGTATCTCCAAAGGGTGCTCAAGGTCAATAACCTTGAGACCCAAGTTGAGTGTCTGAACTCCATTTTGAGAAATGAAGTTCCTTGTGGCTCCACAATCAAGCAACCCTTTGATCATAGTTCTGTTAATTTGAGGTTTGAGCATGATCAGTTCTGATCTCTTCTTCTTCTTCTTCTTCTTCTTCTTCTTCTCCTTTAACTGGAGATGAAGGGAACAAAGCTGATCAAGCTCCTCCTCAGATGGGGGCTCATCCAGATAGGGCTCAATATAAGAGTATATTGAGTCCCTTGCAACTCAGAAGAATTAGGCTCCACAACTGATTCACCTCCTGAAGGAGCTGGATACAGTTCTGCTGGCCAGTTCGGTTTTTTGAGTGGCTGCAGTTGCTATGGTTCAGCCTAGGGCAATCCTTGACATAGCGATTTCCCTCACACCTCAGACAGACCCCCTTGTCCTTCCTCTTTTGCCATACGCCCTCTGGGATTTTCAGGTTCCTCCAAGGAAGAGAGGAAGCGTCCATGGGAGTGGTTGGGCACTTGGCAAACTCTAGGAGGTTCTGCAGTTGGGGACCAGTAGGGCGTTTGACTGACCCCTTAGGAGAGGAGGACTTTTGTCCCTGGTACTGCTTGCCTCCAGGGAGGGCTAGCAGTGTCTGGGCCAGTAATTGAGCAGGTTGGTCCGCTGATGCTCCTGCACGTTGGCCAGCTGGAGGAATAGATCTCCCCTGGCTAGTGCTTGTAGAGTCATCATGAGACTCCATGGTGTACGAGTTCCTTTCCCCTCCTCGTCTGGGAAAAGGGGTTGCCTCCCTTCTTCTGGGAAGGGGACTGAACATGGAGTGTTGCCTCCATGTCCAAGGCTACTCAGCCAAAAGACCGCCAATCCTTGTGTCCTGCAAAGTATAGGGCCGTGGTATATTTCTCATTAGCTGCCCTGATGAACCAAGTCAGTTGGTCCCTGTAGGACATCTGCAAACCGGGAGTAAAGGTGAGGCGCTCAAATTCTGCATAGAGCTTGACCAGGGAACCCTTGTATTTTGTCTAGCCAGGACTAACCAGCTTGGCGGGCCATCTCTTTGTCCGCAAACCTTGCCTCCAGGCTTTGGAAGATGGTCTCTAATCCTGCTGCAACAGCCCAATCTGATAACTGCTGTTGAGACTTGGTGGCCTCAGAGGTCGCCCACTTCAATGCTGACCCACTGAATACGACCACAATGGGCTGCACCTTGTTAACCTCTGGGCAGGTGAATCTCCTCAGATAAGACTTCATTGAAGTGATCCAATCTGACACATCCACTTTGGCATCATCGCCAGTGAATTTGTCAGGTTGCATCATCTTGGGGAAACACTGTTCCTGCTGTCCTGAGCTGCCAGCACCAAGTCTCAGATCCTTAGGGACAGCCTGTTGCTAGTTAGGGGCAACAAGCTTTCCCTTAGGAGAAGGGGGTGGTGTTGCAGGGGGAGTAGCGACCGATTTAAGTTCGGGTTTGACTGTCTGATGAGGGGTAGCGATAGCTGAGTGGGGAGAGGTACTGAGATCTTGTCCGATTCGATCCAAGGTCTCTACAATAGAAGACTTTGGCTTCAACTGTAGTCAAGCGGTCTTCTATTGCAGCAGCCCGGTCCATCCAGGCACTGAGGGCATCTTTGATTGAAGTGAACTCCAAACGGATCCACTTACCTGTTAGTGTCGCTGAATCTTTCATCAGATCAGCGGCCAGGAAATGTTCTGCCAGCACTGCCCGTCTGGCTTCATTCTGTGCCTTTCGGTCTCCTTCATCCTTCTCTCTCCTCAGCTTCTCAATCCTCTTGCGGCTTTCCTCTGCAGCTGCCTCCTCCTCCTCAATTTCCAGCTCAATGGCGGTTTTCGGAACCACAAGATCCTTGCCTTTGTCAATTCCCAGGTAATATTTTTTTCCCAAATTAAAAAAAACAAAATTCAGATTAGAGTTCACAACTTCACAGACAGAACAGCAATCTGATCAGAATTACACTGTGCTGTTTACTCAGAGGGAAGGGTTACGATAGATAGTAGAATAGTACTTGTGTCTTTAGGCATTCAGGGAGGTTGCAGGCAGCGGTCAACAACAAAACAGCGTTTGTTTACTTTTATTGCACGCCCAACTGATCAGGAAAAAGAAACAATACTTTCAGACCAGATCCCTACCGAATCTTCCCATGAACACCAGCACGATTAGCAAGGCAAGAAAACCCAAGTCCATACGCAGAAAAAAAAAACTGCGGCGGGACGCCGTTCGTTTTGCAGAAATAAAAATAAAACCCATAATTTGCAGGCTGCAAATCGGCAGGTAGACTGTGTGGACTTGATTAGACTGATGACACAGAGTTACTGAGCGGACCGTTCTTATATAACTGACAGACCCCTTTTTGGACTGACTGCATCGACTGAACTGACACTAGATCTGGCACGGCAAACTATGACAGGACAGACCAACAGGCAGAGTTACTGCGTGGACCGTTCTGATACGACTTACAGATCCCTTTTTGCACTGACTGCATCGACTGAACTGACACTAGATCTGGCGCGGCAAACTATGACAGGACAGATCAACCGGCAGAACGGAAACCGCTACCCCGGCCTGTGCACAGGCTCAACACCCACGGTCAACTGCAGGCAAGGTCAGAGGGGAGACCCACGGTCAACTGCAGGGAAGGTCAGAGAGGAGTCTAACCGCTGACAACCCACTGACGACACAGATTGACAATTACTGACCTCTCAACGGGCCACGGACTGACAGACCCGACCGACCAGTTCTGACAGACTGACGGACTGACGTTGGAGGGACAGGTCGCCAGAACGAACTCACTCAATCAAGGTCTTGATTGGAGGTTGCCGCCGGTCAAGTTTGACCGTGTACAGGGGCCTGGCTGACTTGCTGTTGGTCAGTGCCCAAGCTGAATACTCCCCGCAAGTTCTAATCAATTTCCGCAGATTGAATTGCCGCCGTCTCTTCTGCAAAATTCAACCCTCAAGTGGTCGTCCAAGACCGGTGGCCGACCAAGCAGGCTGAGCCTGCCACTTTGAGGGTTGATGTGCCCTCGGGTCACCGGCCCACTGATTAGGATTGACGTCCTAATTAGTGCTGGGGCCAACTCAAGCCGGGAGACCACTTTTTTTTTCCCCTTTTTCTGAACTCGCTTTCTTTCCCTTGCGTACCAATCAAGCGACAGCTGTCGCCACTGACACTGTTGAAGACTACGGGGCACCGCCCCCAACCGCCAACCGCCGGCCCGACAGATGTAGGCCGCTAATTATTCCGCTGGATGCACGCGGTCATGGCTCCAATACCAACTGTTATCTACCCGGTTGAACTTCCATCCAACGAATTCACACGTTCCCATACACGCATGCAATTGCAGAGTAGATTCGAAGGAGGCAAATCCACACAAAACCGGAGGGGGGATATGCACAGCGGAAGCTCAAAATACACAGAGAATTGAAAAACGAATTTCAATTCTGCAATCCCTCTTCCTCCTCCAATCAATCCAGAGTACTTGTTCCAAGAATCCCAACCATGTTATCAACACCCACGGACCAATTATTTACAAGATTTCATCGGAGTATCCGGGAGTCTTCTTCTTCCACCCTCTTCCTCAAGCTCTAGCTATTGTGCCTGAGGGCACCCAACCTATCAAGCCTGCCAATCGCCACACATCCTCCTCAGTCCAACACCCCTCTCTGCGTCACTCAAGAAGCCCACTGCAGATGAAGTGTCCACTCAGCAGGGGAGCGCAGCTCCCAGGATGATGAAGAACAGCAACTCGATGAAGATGAAGGTCTGCCAGGTTGAAGAAGAACCGCTACAAGTGCAGCTTCGGTGGCGGCTGACCAAACCCCAACAGACAGCAAGCAGGATGCGCCTCACAGAGTCGGGCCTGACGCCCGGGCCATATCTGCACGAGCCAAATAAGCCCCGGTAGCACCAGCCATGGCTGCCCACTTCCTTTCTTTGAAGAAGAGGACCGAGTGCTAAAATTAGCGCAGCTCCAGGGTCGACCTCCCGCAGCACTTCGTGGGGAAAAAAAAACAAACCAAAATAGAGCCTAGATTCGTCGGTCCCTGCCTACTTCTACGTGACTTGCCTCGGCCTCCCACACAGCAGGAACCTATGGAGTCTGGACCTATCTGACCGTTCGAATAGCAAACATCTACGGCCTGTAGTCAAGATCGGCCTAACTGCATCTAGATGGAATGTGAGCTAAGGGACCCGAGGCTAAGACACCCAAAAGAAAGACCTACGGCCTACCAGTTTCTAGAAGGGCAGAAAGGACAATAACGAGGCTGAAAGGCCTAAGACTGCAAAGTAGGGACTACTAGCGACAGGTTCAAGCCCAACAATCCTCGAAAACAAGGAAACAACAAACACAGTTAGTATACACACAGACAAACAAACATGCACAACTCCAGTCACGAGATCGAACCCCGGAAATCACAAAACAGGCAGCAGCGAATTAGTGTACAGCCCGCACTTCACTGCAATTCATTGCATACACCCACACACCCCAAAATAATAATAATATTGAATAATTACAATAATATTATAATAAATAAAACAATAATAATAATGAAAATTTGAGCACATCACTAATTTGTGCATGGAGCATGGTGCACTCGCACCACACACGGCACACCGCAGAAGTGTGCCGCAAGCATGGTCAATAGACTCGATACCGTCTTTTGTTCTGGTTTTGTTTGTAGATCCATCAGCTCTACCTCTTTTTCTTTTTCTGAACGAGTTTTTCTTGAAACTGTGATTGTGTTTTGATTTACTCCTTGCTGATTGGATCACGAATAGCATCCAGGGAGTACACGTGTTGTCCCCAGCGGTAGTTTGAGCTCCTGCTGGAACCTGCATTGAGCCTCACTGCTCGTCACCTTGAGCATACACACACAATGAGAGATCACACGAACTACACAGTCCAGAGATGCACAGTCCAGATAAGCGCAGCTTAGAAATTCCAACGAATTATCACATTAAACAGAGTTCCAGTCACCAGGCACTCAACGGCGCAGATTCCAGCAACCCATATCCAGCATCCTCATCCCGGGTAGGTGTCGTCTCTCTCTGTCCCCCTTCCTCATGCATGCGCTCACCCTCCCTTTCTGCGAGGATCTGGGTCCTCAGCAGGCCTGAGGGGCCCTTGCTGCAAATGTGCCCGCCCTAAGTGAAGGCAGGCCTAACAAATCACGAGAGGCCCTAAGCTGTCAAAATTCGTATTTGGGGTCCAGGCAGTTTCGTTGCGCCAGTTGGTTGAAGGGAACACAGGCCGAGCAGCAAGGAAAATACCTAGGCCTTTCCAGAAAGCACAGGCCCTGGGCGAGATGCGCAGCCTTGTACACAGACAGTTAAGAGGCCCAACCGGATGATGCCCAGCAGCTGCACCAAAGGCACAGCATCCTGGGGCCTACCGGAAGCTTCTGGGCACAGGCCAGTCCAGCCAGGCTGCCATACGAGGCAGGCTCTCTCCATATAGGAAAGAGCTCGCTGCATGGCGGGTCATTCAGGCACTCGCATGCTGGCGGCAGCGCTGCTGGAGCTAATGCTCGTAGGCTGCTGCTGGCGCTGAGAGGCGAGGTGCAAGCGCGTGCGGTCGTGGAAGAAGCAGGGCGCTGCTGACGGCAGCGCCATAGTCCAGCCTCCATAGCTGGCTGAGGGCTTGGATGTACAGTGAGGCGCAGGGGTGGTCTTCGGGTGTACACAGGGAAGACGTGGGAGTAAGCCGAGGGAGAGAGAGAGAGAAAAGGATGATGATGATGATGTGAGGCCACATACCTGGTATTGGCGATGGTCTGCATGGGCGACATCTTCAAGTACTTTGGAGGCTGCTGACGTCAACAGTTGCATTGTCAATTAGTAGGCTAGTACTATCTGTGTAGGGAGTAGGCTGGGCGCCGAGCACCAAGTAGGGAGATAGGGACTGGATACATATGTTGGTGGTGGCGAGAGCAAGCTCTCATTGACATTGGTTTTCAGTGCTACGATTCTCCATCGGTGTCATATTGGTGCAATGCTGCTTTCTGAACACTGTGATACGATCTGGCTTTCAATGTGATTGTGCAATCTGAATATTGGCATGTCGCTATTGCTCATTTTCCTTGCATTTCTCTCTCTCCTTCTCTATTTGAAGATATCGACTCTGAATACATCCGCTACTACTCAGCTCTATCTCCTACTACTAGCTATGCGGCTATGGCCACATTCCTTCCTCACCACGGCGCTGCCCAGCAGGGCTCCAGTGCTAGCTACTCGCAGATAGCGCACAAGCGCCTCAGCAGCACTTCCACACTTCTTGCGAATGAGCAATTTGTCCGAAATGTGGCTGGTAAGTGACTCGTCCCAGCCTCTGCTTCTGTTGGCCTGACTTGGGCCTGGTACCAGCTGCCCGCGGCCTGTTTGCTTCAGAATGTTGAGGCCCGGTACCTTCCCGGGTTTTCCTTGGTTTGCTGCTGCTTTGGGTCCGTGGGACGTGACCTTGACCTGTTGGTCGTGACCCTTGCCTGTAGAATATGACTTTTGACCGCGAGATATGAATCTTGCCTGTGGGACATGACCTCTGACTGTGAGACATGACTTTTGCCTATTGGATGTGTCTTTTGCCTCTTGGATGTGACTGTTGACCGGGTAGCTGCTGGACTTGACCCCTGGGGTTCCCGACGTAGCCTTTCTGAAACTGGCCGACCTGGCCTCTCTCGGCCTGGGGATTTTGACCCTGGGATTCGAACATGGGGTCTGCATCGTGGAATGCCTTTCAAACCACAGCTTCTGCAGTGTATGAAGTACTGACGACCGATGCTGCATGTGCTCAGGATTTACAGTGGATAGGCAAGTGACCAGCAAACTATGTGGCAGAGCCAGTTCCTAAGGTGGGTGATGTGAGTGGGGAGCTGATGCTTTCGGCGATGAATGTAAAAGAACAGTCTGCTTCAAAGCGCTGCTGGGGAAAAGGCCCCAGGCAAGCATAGGGAGAGGTCACTGCAGCTTTGAAGTTGGCAATATTACTAGAACCTTGTCAGTTGTGAGTACAGCAGCATGGTGATTGGCCGGGGCAACTGTCATTCCATTGGAGGTCATATTGAGCAGGAGGTGGTGAGAGGTTATTCCAGGATAAAATCCGGTAATGTGTGTGTGTATGTGAGTGCACATGTGTGTGTGTGTATGTGCAGGTAAGGTACCACCCTGTCTGGTGAAGTCAATATGCAAACGGAAATGATGTGATGGTGGTTTCGGGTCACCCTAATAACTGTGAGGATTGAGCCCTCAAAGGGGCCTTGCCGTGATGTACATGTTCTGGGCTAAGGCCCCCAGCAAGCCTCGTGCCCGCCCTAAGTGAAGGCGGGCCAGCAAATCAACGAGAGCCCCTTTTGTTCAAACATTTCACGAAGTGGGGTCCATACAGTTGCCGCACGCCAGTTGGTTGGAGTGCACCGAGTACCAGATTTCTGCAAATGCAGAGGTTAGGCCCTGGGCGCATAAACGTGAGGCCGACATTGCATGCTGGACATAGAGGCCGAAAATGCCAATGGGAAACCGGTCCACTATCTGGATCTGGACGCAGGCCTTGATGAAAGAGGCGCAACTGTATTACGTGGGCCCCAACCGCATTGGGCCTGGGTACAGGTACTGGGGCCCAGGCGCAGGCTCAAGGGAGGCCGCCCACACGCAATACTGGCATATAGCCAGAGCGGGCGAGTGGGCAGGGATCTTGGCCATTGGGAGAAAAGCCGGCACGCTGCTGCATTGCAAGTGCAGGTGCTGCACTGCGCTAGGCTGAGTGAAGGCAGGTTGGCGCTAAGCGGTAGGGCGCAGCCTGGGCGCAGGGCGCTGGCAGCCATAGCCGGGCTGCTGGATAGCGCTGTGGGAGATGAGGGCGAAGGTGGTTCTTCGGAAGGTGAAGGGCGCTGTGTGGGATAACAAGGGAGAGTGAGGGAAGAGAGAGAGACGTACCTAAAGGAGGGGAGGTCGGCATTGGTGTTGACGTCATCACTCGCTGGTCGTCAAGTTGTCTGGTTGCTTCCATGCTGTAGTTGTAGGTATAGGCTGTAGAGTAGATAGGGCGCCTGGCGCCATTCAAGAGAGAGAGCTACTTCGGGTTATGTTGTTGGTGTTGCCCTATTGGGCTTGGACATTGAATCACGACTTTTGCTGTATCGTTCACAAATGGATGGTATCTTGGTTCCGATGTGCTATCTGCTCTTGCTTTGACTACTCGGACTTCAGTGTGATTTTGCAATTGGTATCTCTGTGCTTCGTCCACATTCATGTTCTTTGCATAACTCTTTGTGTGGTGTCCTTGGTTCACAATGCATAAACCACACAAAGATTTCTAAGAGGACCCGAAACCACCATCACATCATTTCCGTTTACATATTGACTTTACCAGACAGGGTGGTACCTTTACCTGCAGACACACGTGCACTCACAGACACACACATTACTTAGTGGTGCATCGATGAGATTTTATCCTGGAATAACCTCTCGCCACCTCCTGCTCAATATGACCTCAAATGGAAAGACAGTTGTACCCAGGAATTCCTTTCTACCATTTTCAAAATGTTTGAAGCATTTCCACCGCCTTCAAGAAGTTTTGATAGATTGTGTCAAAATTGAAGTCCATTGCAAACTTCTTTTAAATCTCCACTGTTAGTGCATCTGTATCTTATTCGTGTGCAGGAATACTACCGCCTTCAAGAAATCCAGATAGATTGTGTTGAAATTGAAGTCTCTGATGAACTTTCTATTAAATATCGACTGTTAGTGCATCTGTATCTTATTGGTATCCAGGAGCGCCAGGTTTCGTCATGGACACTCTGTTAACTGGGGTAGAGTTTGTCAAGGGATGGGGGAGAAGTCTCTTCATTCAAAAATGGAGCTTTCATCAGCTTGTGAGTGCCTCTTTGCCCTACACCTTACGGACTGGTTGTTATTTTTTGCAATCGAAGTGGTAATTCCTAATTGGGGAGAGCCACCCATTGTAGCTACGATAATTTCCAAAGACAGCTATCAAAAGCAGTACTCTAAAACCTTTTCGACTGCGGGGTGTTGCTGCATGCCAAGCTTCGTTGTTTATTACCTCCATCGTTGTTACTGGCCCTTGGATCTTTAGCTGGGTGATTGCTGTTGAAAGTTGCTCTCTTTTAACGGAATGTCGCGGAGTGCAGCTGTTTGACAAGTAGTTTTTCTTGAGTAGCTCTGGACATCCCTTGCAGACATTGGAGGTGTTTACGTCACGAGGCTTGCCTGACTGCCGTGGCATCTGCAGCTGAGGGATGTCATTGGGGGCAAACTTCTGTTATTTGTGTGTTTTTTTTCTTTTTTCTTTTTTTTTTTTTCCACCAACACCAGCCCCTTCTATTCTGGGGGGCATTAGTCCACCGGCAAGCACTGTTTTTTATACAATTTGAAACAAGCAAGGGGGGAGAACATACAGACTGTTATTTGTGTTTTCAATAGTCTTTTTTTTTTTTTTTTTTTCCCTGCCCTCCGTGTCTTTTGGGGTGGGGGGGTGGTCCTGTTTGTAGAACCTATGCTTCTGGTGAGTCAGCCTGATAAATGGCGCCCTAAGATTGGATGATTCTATTCGGTGGCGCCAAGATAGATCAAGGGTTTGTGGGGGGGGTTTCATAATCACGGATTTTTTCCCCGGGGGGGATGGATGTGCTTATTTGGGAATGGATGTGCAAGGAAATAAGCAATGAGAACAGCGATAAACCAGATTGCGGCATCTCACGGAAGACCGGACATGATTGAGCTGTATTGAAAGCAGAAAACAAAGCGTAATGCACACCAAATAGGAATGAGCAATAGACCAAAGGCTCTTGATAAAGAAAGCCCTTCCACTGCCTTGAATAATCAATACAAGGGCAATGTAGTCTTCCTATTGGTGTCCTGAACGCCCATCCTACTCCCTAGATTCCACTCATCTAGGCTATCGGCATGCCAGCAATGGTCCACATGTCAATCGGCCGATGCCGCTTGAAGACTGGTCACTCAGCCTGCCTTCATCAACACTGGATACTTGCCTCGTTTTAACCACCTCCCTTCATTCCTTCCCCAAGGATCACCACACCTCCACCATCTGGCTATGGTGCGCTTAGCCCGGCTATGGCTGGCACCCACCTGCTTCCTCCTTGCTGCCACTGCAGCAGCTTCCCCCACCGGGTGCTGATCCGTGCTGGCTTCTCCAGCAGTGTGGCCTCAGCCTGAATGCCTGCACGTTAGTATATTTAAACTGATATAAGTCAGGTACAACATTATCAGCAGGGACAAAGGATGAGCTCTTTCTAGGTGGCATAGTACTATTTGGCAGATCTAGCCTCCAGATCTGAGAGGAAATAGAGGGACATGGCAAGCTGACAGTCAATCCTCCACCAAGGTGGAGCAATCAATAATGTTCAGGGGTCCTTCGGCCAAACGGAAGGAAGCGTGTGTGAGTTTCAATGTAATGTATAACTTGCCGGCGGAATAGGAACCGGACTGACGCTCCCCAGAATAGAATGGAGCCAGGACCATAAGGCCCTGTTTAAAAAAAAAAAAAAAAAAAAAGACCTTGGCTGAGCAGGCTGCGTGCATCCTTGACCACATCCCAGTAGGAAGTGCCTGGGCCTACTGGGAGGGTGTGCAGGACCCAGCCTCTGCAACTAACTGGTGGGCTGGGCCTCTTGGTTAGGTGCAGGGGCTGGCTTGGGGCCGGTGTCGAACTCCTATGCCCGCCTTCACTTAGGGTGGAGAGGCTCGCTGTCACAGCCGAGGGCCCCAATCCGTGCATTCCCTGCCCCTCTGGTTCGAAAGTCCTCTGAGAACCCATCAATCGAGCCGTTGCTTTGCAAGGTATTCCTCTTCCAGGCCGCTTCCGCAGTGGCGTCAGCTTGTGCTCAACAATTTGATCGATGTCCACATATCCACCCATGATAGGCGGCAGCATTGATCGCAAAGAGGGTAACTCGTCAAGTCTGGGAAAAAAAGGTAAGAGTTTGGAGGCGTGTACGATTCTGAATGACCATGGTACGCTATTGCTGTTCCTCCTCAGTTGCGCACTTGCCCTGTCGGGTACGTGCGCAAATGAGGAACAGCAATTGTGTACGGTGGTCCTTCAGGATCTGATACATTACAGTCCACGGTCCAAAGTATTGTGGCATCAGCTTCCTTGAAATGTCTCGTTCCTGTGTGAACTCAGAGCACTTGACCCAAGCTCTATCCCCAATCTGAGATGTTGACTGCCATTGGTGTTCGTTCTCAGATGCTATCATAGCATTCTGAGCTCTCTGAATCTGTTCAACAATTTATTGCAGGAACAATTCGTATTATATTCCTTAATGCTACCCGGTGCTGCTGTAAACTTAGATTGAGGATCAGAAAATCCAACGTTGTCCTAGGCTTCCATCCCAAATGTGTCTGATTAGGAGTCCGGCCAGTAGTAGGGTGCACTGCATTATTATATATAGGCTAAGGCTAAACTACAGGGGGCAGGTTATCATCCCAATCTGTTTGATTAGTGTGTCATGACCTGCGAATTTCAGACTGAGAATCTGCTGTTTTCTAAGACCTAGATTACGGATCAAAAAATCCAATGTTGTCCTAGGCTTCCATCCCAAACGTGTCTGATTAGGAGTCCGGCCAGTGGTAGGGCGTACTGCATTATTATATGGGCTAAGGCTAATCTACAAGAGGTAGCTTATCATCCCAATCAGTTTGATTAGTGTGTCATGACCTGTGAAATTCCGACTGAGAATCTGCTGTTTTCTAAGTATTGCTGCATGCTGGACTGATTCACTGAGGTTTCCATGTTCTGCTGAGGTCTGCTACACACACACACACACACACACACACACACACACACACACACACACACACCAGCACTTGGACAAACAGCAACCAGCACTCAGACTACACAGATACTCGGGCCGATGCTAACCTGTGGCCGTGTGTCGTTTGGGGTTGTAAAAGGACCTTTACGAATTAGACCCCAGATGAATGCCCCAACAGCTAGGGGCCCTGTCGGCCAGAACTTAAATTCACGAGCAGCAATACAAAAGGCAAGTTCCCTGAGGCATATGTCACATCAAAAATGAGATGAAAAGTCGTTTTGAAAAGTCACAAACAGGTATTGGACACAGTTTTCAAGACTGAGTTAGAGTCATGTCTCCTCGATGAAAAGTCGTGTCTGTTCGGCAATGAGTCAAAGGCCACAGTCCCAGTCCAGTTATAATCCCACGAGTCAGTCCTGATTCAGACCAGGAGTCCAAAAGACAGGCCCGATGGCCCGAAGCAGAAGCAGACCATGGGAAAAGATACTGGGACACACACTTTGCAACAAAAGGTACTGGGCAGGAGTCCCAGGCACACTTAAGGCTGAACGCAGGCCACGCCAGACCAGTCCAGCACTATAAAGGACTGGCCAGCCTCCCATTTGGCAGATGCTCACTTCGCATGAGAGTGTGGAAGTGCCGTGGCGCTTGTGCGCTAGATATGCGTGAGCTGCACTAGGCTGAGAGCAGCGCTACGTGTGAAGAAGGGAAGAAGAGCGCTGGCTGGAAGGAAGGCAGCCATAGCTGCGCCAGTGCTAGTTAGTATATTAGTAGGGATAGTTAGTAGAAGATACCAGTGAGTAGTATTCAAAGTAGATCCTCGTGTGATAGGGAGTGTGCATGCATGATGATTGAGAGTAGACCAGGGCTATAGACATACAGGGAGAGAGAGAAGAAAGCAGACGAGAGAGAGAGTGAGGTGTGAGCTATGGTGACACTTACCTGTTGACCGCTGTTGACGTTTGGTAGCCTGCGCTAAAGAAAGAGCCAGGCTTGGAACTCATGCTGATCGAAGAAGACTTGTAACTCTGTTTGGTGCTGTACATTTTGAACTCACAATGTTCCCTCTCTAATGCTGGGTTTGTTAATTGAGTTGAGCTTCCTGGTTCTCATTCATCTTCTATTGGGATTTGTGTGAGACATCGCAGTCTGTGAATTCTGTGAATATGCATGTGATCTAATACACTCCAGCAAGTGATGAACAGTCGGGTTCCTTGCAAATTTGGTATCGGAGCAGAATTTGTTACTCTCACTGGACGCGCTGGCATGATAAAGGCCGGCGAGAGGGATAAGCTGGCTTGAGTATAGCTGGCGAGAGATGAAGTAAGAGGTGAGGTGAAGAGGTGTTGGATTGGGCTAGAGGGGGAAGTTGGCCGAAGAAGGAGGGGCTGAGGAGGAGAAGACTTACCTGCGATTGGAGCGATTGGAGTGAACGTGGAGTCTTCATCAACGGCTACAAAGAAGAGAAGAACCTCCTGCCCCACTTACGTCGATTGATTGTAAACCTGTGTGTTGTGTATCTTTTCCCCCCTCCATTCTGATGGTCGCTGCTGCTGTCTGGACGAAACCTGTGGCCTGGTCTGATCAAACAGATAGGACTAGAGAGTCAACATCTGGACTTCGTGTTATCCATCTAGTTTGACGATAGGTAGGGAAGGAAGGTTGAGTCAGGGAACTGTGTACTGCCATGTCAGAGTGTAAATAGAGAAAATCGAGACGAATTGGATTTGTGTTTGAAGTAAGTTTTGAGTATCTCCCAGCTACCTTCTCTAACGAAAGTGACCAGTCAGACCATCGAAGGCATAGACCAGCTAAGTAACTAAACAGGCAGCAAACAAAGAAAGAAAGAGAGCTCCTACTTTGCATATTGATTAGGAAAACGTTATATATCTTCCGGATTATTAAATTTCGTTACTCTGAAGCAGCGACATCCAGACTTAAAAAAAAAAAAAAACTCCCATCCACTCAAGTAGATTAGGTTCCGGGTAGCTGCTTGGTGGGACAGCGGAGGCCACCCCTGTGCTGCACTCCATTATGGATGACTATCTGATGTTCATATGGTGGCCCTCTCCATTCTG